TATACAGAAACTAATTCTTACACGTACACCTCTATGGAGATCTTAGAGGAACATTTCTAAAATTATGTATTTGCATCCAACAATTCCTGAAGTTCTTTTCCACAAATTGCAATAGCCAGCGTTCTTGATGAGATTTGAGACCTTGCTGATGAACTTGTAGAAGCATGAGAAATTCAATCCCGGAAGCTCCTTTTGAGAACTGGAGTGGAAAAATCAGAGTAGCTAAGAGTGTTTGCAGCTTGTTTTCTCCCCTGCCTTGAGATAAATTAAAATAGACACAGTGAAAGAGCAGCAGGGAGGGCTAAAGGGGTGGGGAAGACAAGCAGAGGGCACTAGTGTTTAATTTGGAATGTATAGCACTAAGGCATGGAAAGCAGAGAGAGGCGCTACATAGATAACCATGTTTGGCATTGAAATCCAAGAAGGAAAGGCTAGAACGGGAAGAGAGAGCAGCCAGACATTTGCCACTTAACATAACTCTGAGAACTAGATTACAGAGTATTGTTTCTGAATACTGCACAGAGTTTTCAGTTTGTTCTCAGATACACTTTATCACCAAAGAGTATTTTTACATGGGGGAGGGGGAGTAGTAGTAGTTCATTATTACAACTAAAAGCAATAAATTAAGAGATTAAAAAGGATATGAATAATAAGTATCTTTATAATATGATATGCAATCACACAGAAAGAGTGGTGTGGTGGCCTAATGGTGAAGACACTCACCTCTCACTCAGAAGTTTGAGAGTTCAATCCTAAGTAGTAGCAAATATTTATCTCCTAGGGCACAAAGAAAAAAATATCTTCTGCAAACTCAGTTGTGGCATCAGGAAGGGCATCCAACCAGTAAATGCTCAGCTTCATCCAGTCACTCCAACTCTACCCCAAATTAAGGGATTATAGGATCGTAAAAAGAGAGTTTTATATATTAATACAGAAGAAGCAGACAGCTGGGATACTTAGGAGAATTATCAGCAGAAAATCAGAATAGGCAAGGACAATTCCTTTTCTGAAATTGAAACTGGTTTCTCCCACCCCGAATAATTTTTGATTAAAATAAGAAGATTGTCTTCAATTAATTGAGAATACATTAAATGAAGCAGGTAAGAAGTTTGGCATCCAATTTTCCATTTGAATTGGTGTACCTTATATTAAGCATTGTCTTCCATTTGGGTAAATATCAGTCATAGAAAGAAAATATAGTCTTTAGTACTTTCTAGGTTTGCTGGCTCCCTTGTTTTGTGGAATACTTTGAATCTATTCCTGGCAACATGGGTCCAGAAATAGGGATGTTTGTGAATGTGCTGCATGTTGCACAGTGCATACCATATTCTTTGTTTCTTTACTCTCCAGTATGCATTCTTTTCTCTAATTTTAGAGGGATTGACTGATCCAAACAAGCATATTAGTTGGCACAGTTGGCACATATTACTGTCACAGTACAAAAGGAGCCATTCTCCCTACTCCTAAACTGGATAATTTTTGTCAAATCTGTTTTGTACTCAGTGGAAAATTTTAGTTTCGTCATTGTTGTTTAGTTATCAGAACTTTGTGATAATTGGTTTGGGATGGCACCAGTGTATTCTTTTTCCAATGCAATGAGATGAAATTACTTTTATATGTCATGCTAATATTTTTCAGCTATTCCACTTACCAAACTTTTGCTTACCAATTTATTTAAACTGTGATTTAAAGGAAATTGCAAACTATGTTGGGAAAAAAATTAAAAAGAGTGGTGTTGTACCATTGCCTTTATTGGGTGAATTTTGATAAAACCAAAATTCATCAGCACTTGGGAGGATTTTAAATCCACTGAAATTTCCATGTTTGTCCTACCATTAGTAGCACATCCTCTTATCAAACCTACTGAAAGGTCATAAGCACGTGTTTCATCAAATATATCTAGATACATATTATCTTAATATTTTGAAACTGCTTGGCAGCATGAGCCAAAATAACAAGAATAAAAACATAAATATTTCATTTTTGAATGGCTTTATGAATCACATGTTCTCTTCAGAAAATGAGCAACTGGAATGAGTCTACTTTAGGATTACAATTGGGCAGAGGAGAACAAGAAAGTTAAACAATGAAAATAAAATAGCTCAATGGATTTTTATATGATTTTTATTAAAATGTTCTTAAAAGATTAAAAACGAATGCAATATTATAATACTTTGCATTAGTTTTTAATCTTTTAAAAACATTTAAAACATTTTAATAACAAAGAAAGCAAAAAGTGCAAAAAAAGAAAAAAGTTGAATTAAATTAGGAAAGAAAAAAGATACAAAGAAGTAGCTTCAAATGTGTCAGCCTTCAAGATCTTCTACTATTGCTTTGCATCTTTTGGCTGCCATAAGTAACAGGGGGAGGAGGGGGTAAAGTCTGGGAAGCAAGCTGGAGGTGTTACATTCTAGTGTTGTGTAAAATGAGGAGGGGGGAGTATAAATTCTTGCTTAGGTTTCTATTTCTCGCTTAGCTTTCTTTTCTCTGGGCAACTGCAAACCTTTATCAAAATATGCCAAGGTCAACAGATAGAGGCCTCATCATCACCTGAAGATGTCCACATGATGATATTCACAACTTTTAATTGGAAGAATCATTTGAACTATTGGGGGTGGGAACATTTCCATCACTTTGTATATGTGATTTGCACGCCTAATTTCCCAGATTCAGAATTCTATGATTGCTACACTTCAATTTCAGTAAAAGGTATCTCTTCTCTAAACTAAAGAGTCTAAGTATTTCTTTCTTGAATTTTGAATGGAGCTCCACCTGACAAAATGTTCTTCACATATTTAGCCTTTCTAAGTTACCTCATAATATTTTTTGTCTATAATATATCCTGTCTAATCATGAAAACTATAAATCACAAGGTTTTTTCCCCCATTTTTATGCAAAAAGTTCATAAAAGGTTTCCAGAGTGCCAAAATGTAGTGTGTCTTTTCTGTAATCAAAATTCATTTTATCAAGGTAGTCCTCAGGAAATAATGGAATTTGGGACTAGGATTTCCATCACCTGCACATCTGGTTGCCTTATACTCCATTACCTCTGTAGGGTAAGAAGAGTACAGGGGCACAGGGCAGCAGCGTCAGTTGGATGGCATGGCAAATGGAGCGCTGAGCAGCAGGGAGGCTAGACAGCCATGGCAAGTGGAGTGCAGGGCTGGTAGGGTGAGCAGAGCGCAAGAAAGCAGGGCTGGCAAGATGAACCAAGAACAGGGTGGCAGACACAGCTAGGGCTTTGCACTGTGGTGCTGTGATGGCAGGTTGTGGCATGGGGCTTGAGGTGGCACTCCTTGGTGGTGGCAATAGACCGAAGTAGAACCCTGGAGGCAGGGGCAGCTGGCTGAGATTGCCACTTGGTGAGCACCAATGCTCCTGCCACAATCAAGGAGTGCCAGTTGCATGATGGTCAAAAAGGCAGAGATGGTGAAGTGCCAACATGTGTTCAAAATTCTAAGTGTGGGCAGGTTGACAAGCACCTGAATGTTGATCAGATGATCATCAGATGATATAACAGCTGTAGTGTACAAATCAGTTTATGAACCTGAAGGAAGCAAGAATGATTTCCATATATAGAAAGATACTGAGATGTATAGGGGAATGTTTTAATGCAAGCTAGTTTTAGTCAGACTACCATTTTGTTGTGGGACTTGAAGATACTGGATTAGAAATGAGGAAACCACAACTTCTGTTTTAGGCATGAAAAGCAGCTGGGGGATTTTGGGCTAACTGTAATCACTCTCAATTCTGAGAAGAAAGTATTGTCCAGAAAGGGTATCATAGTGCAATTTTGCATGTATGCAAAAAAATATATGCTGGCCATCCTATTTCCCCTCTCACCCTGGTGAAGGCATCCAGAATGATGCTACCAGGAGCTATCTCAATGAGCATGTCCAGGAGCTTAATGTCCATTAAGTTCCAGGAAAAAAATAGTTTTATAAATGAGATTAACTTGACTTAAACATACAGTACAAGGTCAGGATACTCAATGTATTAGTGTTATAGTCTCTTAACTGCTTGCCTGAAGAAAAATAAGTCCTTTTAGGGACCTGTTGCAAGCTGCCCTTGAAGGTCATCTAGAACAATTGATCCAGAATACAGCAGCACACAAAGTAAGTTAGTCCATGTAATGCCTCTGTTGTGCAAGCTACAGTGGCTTTCAGTTTTGTTCCAGGTGCTCATCAAGATGCTGCTTATCAAAGATCTATTTCAGCATTACAAAACCTTTCCACCTTGGTGGCCCAGCCTGGCGGAGGGAGCATGAGAGTTGCAGGTATATGTGTGCACTCACAATTCCATTTGCATGCGAGTGGAAGGCGCTTGCGTGTGAAGCTCCGCTCATGTAAGCGGAGTGCTTGTGTGACTGGAGCTTTGCACATGAGCACAAGTGCCCTCCACTTGCACATGTGGAGCTTCACGTGAGTGGTTGTCTGCCATGTGGATGGCCTGGTTTCAAACATGCCACAGTCCATTAGTGAGCTGCGATTAGAGGTTAGAGATCCCTGGTCTGTAAGGCACTTAAATTTTTCCCTAAGAACTTCTACTGCTCCTACCAGGCCAGAGAGAATGAGTCCTAAATATTGCTATCTAATGGAAGCTAAGTAGTGTACCTTTTTTATGGCAGTCACTTCCCTATATAGCACTTTCTTTGGCCTCTTGGAAGTTCAGTAGACCTCTACCGAAGTCCGTTTTATATTACTCCAGATTGGCAGCTAGGGATAACTGTCTTAACTTAATGAGATTCCAGTAAAATGTTAGGCAATTATTAATGGTGGGAGAAGGTGGGCAGATCTTCTTTGCTTGTTCTACTAGAAACTTGACAGTATGTTTTAATTTGTATTGTTGCACTAAACAGGAGGCTGGACTTGATGACTTAAATGGCTTTTCCAAACCCTTCATTGCTTTTAAATTAAGATGTGAGCAATTCTTCCTGAATAGTCTTTAGGAAACTGAACAAGACTCAATCCATGCAGACATTTATTAATTCCAACAAAATTACCTGTATTCAGATCAAATTGCTTTATTGCTTGCATTCATAATATTTTATGTACAGGAAAGAAACAATCCTCTGTTTAAATTAGAACTTTAAATACTAAGAATAATTTATTGTCACAATTTCTCAAATCCAAGGTATAGATTAAGGCAATATATTGTTGTGATTTTAAAACTTATATTAAATATTTTTCCCCATCTTCTCATAAAAAACATCAAAAAGCAATTCAACCAGTTGTGGAAGTAAAGTTTCCAATTATCCACAGTAAATCACCTAAAGGAAAAAGGAAAAAAAACTGTAAGAAACTGTTTGACCATCTATTTATATATTATTAAAACTCTCATTCCTGTAAGTTTTAATTGGAGGAAACAATGCATCATAGGGCAATAATGTCTGAACCATTTGAGATATATCTATTGGATTAACTGACAGAATGCATCCCAAATCGAGGACCCATGATTCCCATGGCATTAAAATTTATAAAACATTTTATTAAAAATTTATAAAACATTTTATAACATAAAACTTATTATAAAAGTTTATGACATGATACAAAATGTCATAAAATATTTCCTACACTGATGCTTTGGCTGTCCAACATGGGCTATTTTCAAGACAGATCTCCCAATGTATACCAACTTTTCCAGTGAAAGCAATACATAAGGTTCTATCATAGTTGAAGGCATTGAGGAAACTTGTCATAAAATATTTCTGAAAGGATAACCGAACAGGTCACCAATTCTCTAGTCATAATTATAGTTGTCTAGAACTGAACATTTAAAAAATACATTTGGACTATCCGTAAGAATATCCAGACATTAAAACAGAAGCAAAGAACATTTTTATGCAGTGCTTTTATGCATATGCCATTATGAGTAATGCTTCTAGTTTATACATTCAATTTGAATAAACCCAGAGATAATTGGGACAGATGTTTTACATTCTTGTGGAAAAACCAGCACTAGTTTTATTCAGTTTCCTTTGGATTTGGACCTCCCTAAAGTTTTAGTCCTAATCTATTTCTTAGAACTTTTGGCTACCAGAACAGAAGTTTAAAAAAAAAAACTTTTGCAAACTATTGTTGGAGAATACTGGATTTCAATCACTTAACTAATTCATTCTTACAAACCTTGCAAAGTTTATTCCATTTTGCTGGAAGAGAGTATTACTCTTTGTATCTGCCCTATTCCAGGGCTTGGGTAAACTGAGGGTCCATGTAGTATCTGGTGTATCATGACCCTGTTACTTTAGTTGATGGCTGATGTGTATATGATAATGGTTTGGACTATGCATGTGAAAAATTTTCCAATTAATCCTAATGTGTGAGCCTTAGATCTTAGAAGCAGCATGCAAATGTTTGATATATGAACATATTTTCTATAGTATTTCAGTTTTCTTAGCAAAAAATGGCAACAACTAGGATAACTCAGCCTTCCATCCTTCCAAGGTGGGTAAAATTTGGACCCAAATTGTTGGGGGCAATTTGTAAACTGCTTAGAGAGGGCTGTAAAGCACTATAAAGCAATATATACATCTAAGTGCTATTGCTATAACACAGGAGATTGGTCTTGCAGATCCTTCAATGGAGAAAGGGAAGCTGGAGGCCTCTGACAAGCCAAAAATCACAGTTAATTTATAAATATATATATAAATTAGTTAAGAGTTAAAATAGGATAAAGACCACAGAACACTGGGGACCTGCTTCACCTATAGTAATCCTACACATTGGTTATTTTTTCCTTTAGGGTTAATATATTTTCAGATTTTTCTAAATTCACAAATCAGGAGGATATGAATCCTATGGTGTGGTTATCATATGTTACTACTGTAGATATGGATAGGACAATCAGTTATAAAGATCTTTTCATTTTGTTGTTGACAGAAATCAAAATGAGAATACTCTGTTATTGGGAAATAAATAGCTTTTAAGGCTTTGAAAAATAGCATTTTGGGAACATATACCCTGCAGACAAAAAGTGACGAAGTTCATTGATGATATATTCTTAATCCCTTTTTATATTCCTAAAGTGTATATTAAAAGTGACCCAATCTGTGAGGATGCAGCCAATTTACCATTGATAACCTTGAATTTATGTGCTATTAAGTAGGATATGTGTATAATTAAAGTAAAAAATTATACTTCCCCCCCAAAAATAACATTATATCTTAGTAAGAATACTTGGCTCATTCAATTTAATTGGGCCAAGTCCTATTTCCAGTAGATAAATAAAGCAGATAAAATGTAAGAAGGTATTTCATCCATAAATTATGGTAGGATATCTATAACTCTGGAGAAATTAGAGTTTTAGGCTTAAAAAGGAAAATAAGAAAGACTGCTAGAAAGTACAGTTAGAGAAGAAAAACTATTTAGTTTCATTGCAGTAAAACAGGGCTATTTTAGATTTTCAAACTAAAATTAAAATTTTCAAAACACATGACAAATTGGAAACAGGAAGAAAATACATTATGCATATTATAGATTATACAAGTTTTGCACCCACAAAAGTTTCTATATTCACAAATGCAGTGGTAATTGCTAGGAAATTATATTTTCTGATTAAACCATGTTTTGGTAAATAGCAATTTAGTCACCTACCTATGAAAGATTCCAATATATGACTCATCTTGTTCATATCTTAAAACCCAAAGCTCTCATGCACTCCTTGTGAGCTTCAATAAGATGGCCACAGTTTTCTTCTCCTTTTTCGATAATGCTGCAAAACAACATTTCCCCTTTAAGTGATTTCACAAATCAAGGCCTCAACTAAGTTGATGAGCACTGGACTTCAACTCTGAGTCTGACTAGCTGTAATACTTCTATGTTACCAAATTGTTCTCCTTCCCTTATCCAGGTTATTTAACATAGTCAATCTTATGTAGATATACAGATACAGATGTTTCTCAACCGCTTTGAAAATAATAGGTTGTAGCTGCCTTCCTTTTTCTAGAAGAGATTAAAAAGAGGTTATTCTGCATCAACCAAGCTTCTTTCTCCAGAGAGTGAGAGGTGTTGGACAGTGAGAAGACAGATGATTTAATTTCATTAATTTTTAAGCTGACAATCATTGGAATAAAGCAATTTCTGTCCAGGAACATAGACTTAATGAGGTTAAAATCTGGGTTCATATAGAAAAGAGAGACTGGACAGTCAGCCTCCTGCCTCAGCTTCTCCCCTTGATTAGTCCTGTGGTCTGGTTGGGAGCGAAACATGGCATAGACACACAGATTCTCCAAACTTCCAGAAACAGTATATCCCCTTGCTATCTTTCTGGCCTTGGTGCTGGAGATGTGGTGTGGTGCAAGACACTTGCAAAACATTTGCAAAGGAGAAACTTTATCTTCAACTGCTGCTATCAAAAGCTCAAGGGGGTTCAAGACACCCTCATCTACCCAGGACTAGGTTTGTTTTAAAATTTGAGGCTAGTTAAGTTATAGTTATAGTTAAAAGCAAAGTTAAGCTTTTCTTTTAAGCTGCTACTGCTGCTGCTGCTATTTCTAAAAAAAACCAGTTGTCTTAATAAATCTTTTTTTAACTAGGTATTAGAAATTATGATAATCTGCCCACATATATTTTAAATATATGGTAAAATGAACTGTAACGATGTTAAGCTAGATAGTTTCAAAACTGTAATCAACAAGTTCCCGAGACTTGTAAATTTTAGGATTAAAGAATAGCTTCAGTATATTTGAATAAGACTAACCCAGCCTCTGCTTTTGCAGTTTTTGGAAAATGAGGTTATTATATTAAAGCACATTATTCAGCAACTTTTTAATAGTAATCAGGTGATAAATTGCTCCATATTAAAATTAATTTGGCAGTTCAATAATTATTAGCCACTTCATAGTCTGTGACTGAAGCCACAACATATTTTGTATATAACTAAATATAAAGTGCCACAATAAAATTTAATAATGTGATTTTTTCTTTCCCAGGCAGTCTCTTCCAATAAATCGTTTGTACTAGCACTAGCAGGTTTTTGAAAACCGAGTTTAAAATATTTAACAACAGTCTTTCAAGTTTAGAAATGAGCTCTTCTATTTCTGCTTCTCACCACTTCTACCCAGGAAGAAACAACGCGTTCATTTTAGAACAAGATGCGGGACTATTTTACGACTTAATCGGGAAACGGCACACCTCTGTTGCTCCAGCAACGAGGCGCTTTCTCCTGTCCAGGAATAATTGAGACAAACTTTCTCCCAGCCGTTTCCCGACTTTGGTCCAGTCTGGGAGAAGCGCTTAAAAATATCCGGAGGGAATTTGCTTCTGCGGTTTGGCTAGCCAGTTCGATACCGTTTGCCGACGCGCAAAACTGTCCAT